TTTCTTTTGTTCTGACGGTTGGAGCAATCTCTGCGATGATTTATCATACGCGGATATTGAACACTGTCATTTGATCGGGTGTAACCAATCAACCATCAATAAAAGTCATTATTAATATTATTAGTTTCTCAACTTCTGAGAGTTGTCGTTCGTATGGGAGCGATAGCTGATTAACGGAAAAACAGATTTTTTTAACAGATTTATTATTTTTATCATTATACACCTGCGACTCAGGAAAACCCCACAAGAACTGCTAAAGAGGCCATTCAGTGAACGTTGTTTATGGTCTATGTTGGATTATTCTGCACACTCTCACAGACAGCGGCAGGTTTATTATCTGCACGTGTTATTGAATGCTATATCCGTCCACGGTGATTTTGAAGAACATACTGTATGAATCAAAACTAATTTGACAGATGGAGCTTCAACAAGCTGCCCGTTATCAATTGTCAAAGTTCGGAAACCCTTGTTTGAAGACCCGTTACAAGACATAGGCATTTTATACCTCAATAATTGAACTTAATTTTCTTGGTATTGCATTCAAATCTGATTGCGAGTTCAACTGGTGGTAGTTCAACGAGACTCATTTTGCTTAATGGATACGAGGTCAAATTCTGAATAATAAACGTTCATCAATAAAAATAGTAAATATATTGTCATTCATTGACTCGGCACGTGCTCATATTGCCGTTTATGATAATTTGCATCAATGTAAACAAATTTGATCTTGATTCACGTTTCACAAATATTATTTGACGGAACTGATGATTTGAAAATTCGTTTCTTGATGTTTTTCGGATTTTCACCCCCACTAAAAAAAATTAATAAATCTAAGTCGTCACAGAATTTGCTCCAGAACTGAAAAGTTGAACACGAAATTTTGTTGCGTGATATAAATCTTTCAATATTCTAATTAGTCATGAAGTTGGTTTTATAAATTTTGCTTATGAATAAAATAATTATTGGAAAAAAGGGCGAACTACACAAAACTCTTTTTGCTCGAATAGAACACACTAGTTTTTCTTCAAACGTGAAAAATGCAAAGCTTTCAATAAATCAGGAAACATTTTCCGCCAATACGGAAATTAAAACTATATCCATTTTGGTGATAAATTTTATTAGTTTGGACTTCCATTATTTAATATGATATAAATTGATTTGAAATCCCTGACAGAAAAAAGGCGGTGAAGAACCTACTTGTTGATAGACCCTATTATAGTTTAGAAGAGTATTTTAGCGAATCCTTTTAACAATGAATTAGCAACCCATTCTCTGTTCTACCACTTCATACATGGTGGTGTTGCACATTTTTAGAATTTTTTTTTTAAATTCCATTTATAAATTTTTGGAACTTTTTTATATCTACGTTTATACTTCTTTAGAACTTATTCTATATTTACATTGTATTTCTTGGACTGTGTCAATAATATGCAAATCTTCAGACAATAAAGTATATTTTGATTTGATTGAATTTAATTTGAGAATCAATAAAATTAATAGCAAAAAATCCCCTGAAATGAAATTACAATGAAATAAAATACAAGCGACAATTGAAAATTGAACAATACAAAAAAAATAAGGATTGAAAATTTTCAAATCAAGTTGCTTCACGGTGAAATCGGTGAAACTATGAGGCCATTGAAAATCCGCATTGCCATGCACAAGAAACACACACAGCAAGGAGAAACCAGTAAATCGGAAATAGCAGAGCATGTTTGTACTCATCAACATAACATCAAGTGGTCCCAAGCTGAGATCATCCACAGAGAGAAACACTGGTTTAAGAGGAAATTCAAAGAAGCCGCATATATGTTGTCCAACAACGCATTTAGCCAAGCCAGGGTAGAGATACGCAACATATGGAAACCAATAATCAAGTGGAAACCGGTAAAGCGGAGAGGTGATAGGTGAAAGCACTTGCATAACCCATAAATAGTCATCACCGGAAGACGATTCTGGATACTTACAAATNATATTCTTCTTATCATCATTTTTGCTCATCGAAAGCTTTCGATATGATTTGTCCATAAATTTTTTTGATTTCATGAACATTCAACTCGAACTTCTCAATTAACGATTGGGCACATTCCAGAGGCTCATAAGAATTGAGTATATGCCTTTATCGACGCATTAAGAGATACCAAAATGCAGCAGTATCTGAGGCTAGCTCAACACCCAGCGAGACTGCAAAAACTCATTCAGAAGAATGAGAATGCAGTTGAGAAGCGTATCCTTTTGCAGACTTTTCAACCTGTCTTACAAGGAAAGGGTTTTCCTTCTTGTTGGAAGATTGCTCGCGTTCAGCCTATTCCTAAAAGAGTTTCAAATAACTATGAATGTTTAGAAATGAATTTCGAAATATTAATCGCTCTCAACTACCTACACAGTAGGGTCTGGTGAACGTTTGCCAAAAAACAACTACTTCCCCGGCTAATACCACGCTGGATATTGAATTATATCCGACAGACATTTTTTTAGAAAAGAAGAAAAACAAAAATTATTGCTCAACGGATGAATCCATTTACGGGACATACAGCGTGACTCACGGTCGATGGTAGGTTAGACGTTTCTGGAAAACGCAAAGCATGATTTTTCTGAAAATTCCACCTCTCACATTTCCTTACCTGTTCTATCGATCTAAAATATTTTCAGCATTGCGGCGTTGACACTTCCATCAAAAAGTCCTAGAAACTTAATTTTTTTAAATGGAACACCCCGTATATTAATACATTTTTGGAATCGCTCTGGTATTTTAATACTTTTTTGTTAATAATGTCCTATACCTATCTCTATCTGTTTTCGAGATAAAAAATAAATTGTGCTAAATATGGTCCAAAACATAGCCTTAATTGAAATTAAGTACATCAGTACTCTCAATTCATGAAAAGTTGATATTTTGATGATAGTT